AAGGAGGAATGGGTTTAAATTGAAAATGGGGAGATTTAGATTAGATATCAGGAAGAAATTCTTCCTGAGAGGGTGGGGAGGCACTGGTACAGGTTGCCCAGAGAAGCTGTGGATGCCCCATCCCTGGAAGTGTTCAAGGCCAGGCTGGATAAGGCTTGGTGCAACCTGGTCTAGTGGAAGGTGTCCCTGCCCATGGCAGGGGTGTTGGAACTAGATGGTCTTTAAGGTCCCTTCCAACCCAAACTGTTCTATGATTCTATAAAATAAGCATTACAGTGAGCAAATGATATCATTACTAGGTCCAGGGTCTACCTTAGCAAATGTTTAAAACAGATTTTGTTTTCAATCTATTCAGAGCAAATCGTATTTCACATCTGTATTAGATAAGTGGGAAAAAGTAGGAGGGGAGGACCACATCAAGTAGCTGGAAATATTTTGTTTAATCTCACTTGTTTTGCTTTCTTCTAGAGTTTCATGAGTTTTAGCATTTAGGAACTGAATGTTAGAAAAATCTTAATAGTGAAATCTGATTTTAAAAAGACAAATGAAAATGTACCAATGGAAAAAACAGAGAGGAAAAACTTAAAACCCAGATTGCTATTTTTGCTTTCTTATCTGTCTGTATTTAGTTCTGGTAAACCCAAATCATGTTTTTCAACAAAGTGTAAAAAAAGTAAATTAAATGGTGAAGTGGTATAAGGCTAAAGTGTGTTTGCTGTGCTAAAGAACAGACAATAGGATACTAGTATAGTTCAAGAGAGGCAGGAACCATCTGGGAGTTGTGTGGGTTTCCTGAAAAATATGTTAAAAGAAGGTTTAGCTTCTGACAGGCCAGAAGGTGGTGGTAGAGGAGAGGTATAAAGCCAAAGAGGAAAAGGGAGAATGAAGAGAGTGATGTTAAAAGAAGTGGATAGAAATGAGAAATAAACCTGGAAATCTGTTATGAATGTGTATGCAAATAATTTGTATTTATCTGACAGCAGGTAAGACTCACTGTATCTTAGTGCTTCTCACCTTGTTTTTGAAACACTTCTCAACTGGAAATCGGACACTGTCTGCCACCAGCTCCTTGTCAGGGTGTAAGGTATATACCAGCAACTGAAGGGCTGGAGCCATCTTCTCATTGACCACAAGTGGGATGGTGAAAGTGCCATTTTGGTCTGTTAGAAGAGAGAAAGGAACCAATAAGGAGAGAAGTGCACGGATCTGCTGTAGTAGTAGCCATCCTGAACTGGCGTATTGGTACCTCAACTGGCAACTGGTACCAGTCAGTGGAGCAATCTGTACTTAGACAATAAACTGAAAAATCCTGGATTTGCCTGGGTTTAGATCCAAATGCTCTCAGATGAGTTGAGGGTTTAAACATGTGGCCAGATTCAAACAGTTCCCTAAGCCAGACACTGCATTCCCAGTAGTATTCTTTGGGAAGATCTTTACAGGACACTACTTAATTCTTATCAACTAAACTACTTGCTGGACTAAATCCAAATTTATAGTGATCTTAGTGGTAGTGCTAATAGCATGGACGCACATGAATAGCGAGAGATACAGCCCTCCCAACAGCTGCTCTATACATCAACGAAGTCTTGCTTTGGTTCTCACTTCAACCATCTTTTTTTTTTTTTTTTTATTCAGAAACATGGATTGGCAACTTAACTTACCAGCTTGGATATTAACTTTCATTTCCCCTGTAAGGACAATCTTGCCTTTTGCCATGCCCTGTGCAGAGAAGAGCAATACATTTATGGGTTGGTAGAGGTTGGAGGGAGAAAGTGGAGATCAAGTTCAGTGTACATTGACAGGACAATCAAGGCATGTACATTGAGATGTCTTCAAATGCTTAAACATCAGCCTTGGTGCTGCCACTACTGCTGCTGCTGCTGGGGGTCTTGTCACTGGTCAGGAAGCAGAAGGAAAAAGAAGAGGAAGGAGAGGCAGAGAATACCATAAGGAGTTTCTTGGAGGGAAGGGACAAGAATCCCTGGCCTGAGATGGTGGTTCCTTACTATGAAATAGAGTAACATGGCCAGAAACAGGGGTCATTTTTCTTGAGTAATTAGTTTTGCCAAACCACTTCAGTGCTGTTTCTGTTCTTGGGTTGTTGGCCATAGTTCTTGCTGGTAATCCAAAGGTTGGAAGACCAGTCACTGCTCTAATTGCTGTAGATGGACTGCCAGATAGCCGCCTGGTCAAGCCCTTTCAGCAAACCATGCAACAACCCCAAACTCACCACATAGTAGAAGTTCATGATGTTGATGCTCTTGTATCCTTCTGTGTTCAAGATATAGTGCACGGTGATCATCCTCTTCTTCCCGCAGCTCAAATCTTTCCACAAAGGCTCAATCCTCACAAAACTGCTAGTCCACGAGTAGAAACGTTGGATGGAGAAAGCTGCATCAGGGTAGAAAGGCTCTATCCAACCTTCCGAGTGGCACTGGTCACTGGTTTTATAAGTGGCCTGATCATGAAAGGGAGTGGGAGAGAAGAGGAAAATAAACATATATCACTAGAGAAATCATTATCACATACTGACATCAGAATGATTAGTTCACACAATGAATACATTAAGAATTGCATCTGAAGCCAGCTGGTAAGGACAAAACAGCATGATGTTCTTGCAGCCTTGCATCGACTCAGGTGTTTTCCTCATTTATTTTACGGTAATTTTTGAGAGCTCTAAGAACATGAAACAAGACAGAGAAAGAACATTTTTATTACAAGAATTCAAAGCTCATCCCATCTTTTTTGGGTTCAGTTTGAGAGCAGCTGTCTCTCTCTGTTTCTCTTCACCCTTATTTTGTACTCACTTTCAGGATGATCTCAGGATCAAACATTGCGGATGTGTCAATGCTAAACTCTGCAACGCCGTTATCATCAGTGGTGAAGTTGTCTGTGTTCTTGTTATTGACAAATAGCTGAATAACCTCATTGGGAATAGGAGAATTGTCTTTGTCTACCAGCTTGATCTGTAGGAGAGAACACGAGATGTTCAGTGTGTTCTTTATGTATGTAGATAGTAACCTTTTGCACTCATTTGCTCTTCACACAGCAGAATTGCTTTTTCTTCTCCCTTCAAGGCAATACTTAAGAACTGAAATGTCCTTTCCTGGAGCAAGAACTCAAGTCTCATCTCTTTCCTGACCAGCTCCTTCTGACTACACATTTCCAGTTTAAAGATATACTTCCTTTCCTCCATTTTTTCCTTTCTTAGTCTTGAGAGTCTGCTACTCATACTTTCAGCATCTGAAGGCCTTTTGTCCAGATCTTTGTTTTGAACACTTTTCTGATTCGGTCCTCACTGTCTCTGCTGTTTATGTGTTAAACAAACAAATAAAAAATAACAGACACCATCATGAATATTCTAGGTTGTTCGAGCTGAACATTCATCTTAAGGACTCTTTTTTTTTTTCAGAAAAAGGTGGCAGAAAAAATAATATATTAAATACAATCTTAAGAGACTGACTATCCTCACTGTCTGGGAACAGCATGGAGATACATGACCTCTGAAACAAAAATAACAATAGGGAACTAAAAGTATTCAGGTGGATGTTAGCTTCAGTGGGACTGAATGCAACAAAAGAGGACTCATATAGAATCATAGAATTACAGAATCACAGAATGGTTTGGGTTGGAAGGGACCTTAAAGATCATCTAGTTCCAACCCCCCTGCCATGGGCAGGGACACCTTGCACTAGACCAGGTTGCTCCAAGCCTCATCCAGCCTGGCCTTGGACACTGCCAGGGATGGAGCATCCACAGCTTCTCTGGGCAACATGTTCCAGTGCCTCACCACCCTCGCTGTGAAGAATTTCTTCCTGATATCTAATCTAAACCTCCCTGATTTCAATTTATACCCATTACCCCTTGTCCTATCACTATATATAACAAATGGCCAGCAAGAGATGTTTCACAGGGCAAGGAAGGACAATGAATGGCATGTGATGCCACCAGGACTGGGATCTGCTGCATTTTGAGAAAGTATGAGTATTGGTGGCTACCAGACAACAGTCCCCCCGATAGGACCCTGAAGGGTTTGGGATTATTTTTTGCTCAAAAGCAAAGAAGCTGCCTGAGGCTATTGTCAACAGATCTGCCTCTGAGATATGACATCCCAGCCTCTTGCCACACGTCTTTCAGCATTTTTAACCTCAAGTGCGTATAAGACTGTGTGCATTTTAGGAATTCACTGTGGCATGTCACCCCAGGGAGGCTGTTAACCCCCATCCTCCAGTAAGGGGTTGTAAGGGGCACAGCAGTCTAAAGAATGGAGTGGGAGTGGGGATCAAGTGAGAAAGTTATATAGACATCTTCCAGAGGGGAAAAATTCCTTGAAAGACAATCTCTTCTCTCCTTTCAGTACTACTGGTAAAATGTCCCCTTATCTTTTCCTTACGGAAAAAGAAAGCAGCAAGCTGAACTGAAGGAAAGAGAGATTTATCCCTACTCTTCAAACCACTGACAGAGTTACATGGGATTGGTTGCAACTGTTGTTACTTCCTTGATTTTTTTCTTAAATTCCTTTCACTCTTTCTTCCCTTCGTCCCCAATGTTTTTATTCATCTCTGTCTGGCATATGATGGTTAATTCTGAAAGGAGAGGCAGTGATTTATATCAAGCTTAAAATACAAGTTAGAAGAATGCTGGTTAATGAATTGTTTTGATTCAGAGTGTTGAAGCACTAGGACAGGTTGCACAGAGAAGCTGTGGATGCCCCATCTCTGGAAGTGTCCAAGGCCAGGCTGGATGAGGCTTGGAGCAACCTGGTCTAGTGGAAGGTGTCCCTGCCCATGGCAGGGGGGTTGGAACTAGATGATCTATGGTCCTATGACAGTATTTCTGGTATAATCAAACTCAGAATAAACTAATACTCTTCAGTATTCAGAATTTCCAATAGAGCATTGTATATAAAGCAAGAAGCTTGGGGAGAACACTCCCTACCCCAAACAGTCCCCCAAATGTTCCCATCATTGTTGTCATGTGATTACCTGTCAGTCTTCTTCAATACAAGCTCTCTATTCCCTTGCTTACCTGTCCAAAGTAAGGAATTCCTCTTCTGTAGTGGCGATCCATGTTCTCAAACTCTATATTGCTCATCACTCGAGTTATGGCAATAGACTGAGTAGCTGTAAATTGCAGGCCTGTAAGACATGTCCAGAGTCAAGAGAAGATACACTATGTCTTGGATACAACTTCATCAGAGTTAGCATTTGCCTGGAGATGGTCACTGTGCTTATAAAAAAAATGGATCTTCTTCACAAAGACATCCTGGTGCTCAGCTGGAAGGGGCTGAATATCTCCTACTCGCTTTTTTGATCACATAACTGTTCTGACTGTCTAGAAGGGCTTACCTGTTCCTTTTTCTGTGACAATGGCTTTCACATCAAGATTCCTCAAGTAACCAGAGCGATTTAGCTCAAAGATGTTGGACCTGAAAATCTGGGAGACACAGCCCTCTGTCTCCAGCTGGAAAGGGAAGAAAACAAATCCTGTTACCAAGGATCACAGCTTTAAAAGGATGCTGGCAATACACAGGACCCTTCTTTAGTGAGTGAAATCTTTTCCCACTACACATAACATGATTTGTACAGAACTGGTGTCTACGCTTTTCAAATGGTTAACTGAGTCATGAAGAAGGAATATGTCAATCCTTATTCAGGCCTGTAGGAAACCAAGAATAGAAAAGAGGTGCCCTGAGTTCCTAGCTAGTGATCTAAGCAAATAGATGAGTAGAGGGAAGTGAAGCATCAAGGAGAGAAAGAAAAGTGTGATGAACAATGGCTGAGCAGCAAGAAAACAGGAGAGAGGACAAGCACAAAGAGGAATAATAACTATGTATCATACATCTTTGATAAATGATTGACAAACTGGGCTTTTCTTGCACTTCCCATACGAATCAAAATCCCTGCACACACTGAGCTGGACTTTCCCTTCAACAGGCTGGCCATAGGTGTACCTAGGGGAAGAAGAAATAAGTCCATGAGCTGATGCTTGAAAAATTGCCTTAAGCTAACATCTGTAGGAGTAGACCTAGGATGAGAAGTAAGCTGGGAAGCCAGAGAAAGGAGTAGCTTCACAGGCTTTTTCATAACTCTCATGCTGTTACTTAAAGATAATACAACTCTGAAACTGAACCATTAGTGAGTTCTATTTCACCCGTAAACCCATGAACCAAATCTATACCTTAAATGTAAAAATAAATACTTCTATAAGCATGGTGGACAGACATGACTACTGACCAAATTATGGCTGTGATCTCAGTCAGAATTCAGCTTAGACTGGAGTTCTAGACTCACTGACGTCAAAGCAAAACTCATATGTGCAAGGGGATCTGGATTTCAACCCTGGATTCTGGATGAAGTTATTAGAGTAAGTTTTCCTTCTGAAGGACTAAGCTTGGAAGAGGAGTTGAAGACAGCTGGAACCCTAAGAACCCTGCTGGAATGTAATGGTAGTCTGCTGTGGGAAGATCCCCCTCTGAAGTTGGTTACTGGGAGTGGACACCTCATACTTTAACAGAGGACCTCTCAAAAGATTTACTCTATCCACCAAAGAGAATACTCGTACAATAAAATGAAATGAGCACACAAATAAATGAACGCTCCAACCACCAAGCCAACACTGAACAACCCCTTCTGAGGCCCTATTTATTCTGGTCTCTTCTCTAAGCCCTGTCGCTTTCCCCAGTCCTTAGGAAGTTCTTGCTCTTTATCATGTTTCCCAGCCACTCTGTACCAGGTACTTACACTCCACAGACTTTCACTGTGAACTCTGAATCCAGGACTGTAAGGCTTTCTGGTGCATTGACTGTGACATCAAATTTTGGCAACACTAGGACAAAGAATGAAAAGAAAAAACCCAACACATTATAAACTTGCAGTCCCTCCTGTGATGAAAGGGAAAATGAGACTATATCTCAGTATTAGTCACAGATGGAATGGGATCTTAGACCTGGGACGCCAAAATGGTTGAGGAGTGGCCTGACCTGCAAAGGCTCACTAAACTGTTTCTACTAAGCTTTGAAGAGAACTCAGGACTTCAGAGGTGAATTCTGTGATGTCTAGATTCCTTGCAGAGCTTTGGCCAAGAAAGTTGTTGGTTGTGGCTGGTAGAAGGTCAGTTTGTCCCAGTGAAATTTGCAATCAACTACTAATTTGTTATGCAGATTATTTTCCTGGCAGAATCTGTGCAAAATGGTTCATTTCTCTTTGGATTTTTACTGGTTTGTGTTTTGGTTTTGGGGGGTTTTGTTTGTTTTGGTTTTTTTTACTTCTCCACTTAGCGACAACCAATTGAAGATGTATTTGCCAGGAAACTGCCTGAAGTTTTAGCAGTCAAAAGGGTTGATGGAGAGGGCTCATCTTGGCATTTACCATATTCTTCCACAAGGAATGAGCGACTTATTTTATCTCTTGACTTCTTCGCTACAATAATTCTGTAGTGCCCCAGGATAGGCTCTTCAGTTAGTGGGAATTCAATCTGGATAATGTTCATCTCCGACGTCACATTTTGCCACTGAAAGATCCTGTTGCCCCGTGGATCCTGAAGAAAAAAAAAAAAGAAGGACTCACAGTTTGCCTTGGAAATCTTTTGCTGCTTGTGGACAAAAGCAGAAAACAAGAAGGAAATAGGGCAAGTGTCTTTAACTCACTGGAGAAGTTGCATAATGCATGTACACTGAAGTAAATTATACCTTTGTACTCTGATTATTGATGCTGCTAGGTTCTCAGCTGTTGATCTCAGATTTAGGCATCCTCTGCCAGCCTAGGTATTAGTCTCAGTCATCAGGGAAAATTGCACAATACTGCTCTTCCCCTCTCTCCAGTATAAGTGTTCTAGTTTTGTGTCAAGGGGGAAGGGAGAATAAAAATCTTCTTTGTGCTTCCCCTTCAGCTGAGTTGGCTTTTAGCAACACCAGCCTTTTTCAGCTGCCGGAGGAAAGAAGGATGCATTTATTCTGCATTCACTGAGGAATCATTTGTGTCTGAGTATATTTTATGCTAGTTGAAGAAAACTCATTCATACTGTTTCCTTGAACTCCTTAAAGCACTGACTGCAGAAACACACGTGTAGAGGTCAAAATATGTATGTTTCACTGCAAAAAAAATAAAGCCCTCTGACTTCACAGTAGAACATAAAAACTTGGAAGAATGCTGTCTAGACAAGGACTACAACTGTTATTTAAAAACAAAAACCCAAAATCACCATAAAATGCCATGGAAGTGCTAATATAGCGAGTAATTGTATCCACAGTCTGTATTTGTTCAGTTTTCAGCAGCACCTGAGTAATGAAACGATATGCCCCAAAATAAGCTCAGCAAATTGAAGGAGGTGGAGAGGAGTCAAAGGCAGGTGTAAGAATATTGCAGCTTTTGACTACTGAGCTGAATATAGGTAGGCTTTCCATGTTAGTAAAACTTTATGAAGTTAATTTTTGCCAATCCTCAGGAGCAGGATTTGACTGTGTGTAGGTACATACAAACTGATGTTAAGCACATCCCCAGATTTTATTTTTATATGCCTAAAACAATACAAAGAGAAAAAATGCCTTACCTGAATTGTAATCAAGGGATACTGAAAGAGGAAGAAGAAAGTGGGAGAAGAGGTTAGGTGGCTGGACAAACACAAATTAATTTTCCCCAGGACTGCAAGAAATGTATACCAGTAAACAGAGATCCTCATCTCTTATTTTAATCAGTTTAATAGCATTTTTACTTCAGTAAGATTACATAAAGGGAAGAGATGAAATGAGAATGTTGAAGCAGTTTCTGATCATTCTGAATTTAGTGCAATCCCAGAGCATCTTAGTAAATTATAAAGGTAACTAAACTGTTATTTGGGCTTCATTGATTTTAAATCGTCATTCTGCTTATTAGCACCAGTTCTTGGTAACACTGTGCTGTCTTCTGCATTACAAACACATGAGAGGAGGCCAGTAAGACCCTTCCATTTTTTTGGCTTATGCATTATGAGCCTGAAGACAGCTTGCTGGCAATGAAAAGAGTGCTTCTGATGAGATAAACAGTTGCAGTAACAACATTCATTTTCATTTCCCCATTTCTAAAATGGTTAGAGCACCAGGTGGATGAATTCCCAATTTTTGCAAGCAACAATTGCTGAACAGTAACAGCAGGAGACTGAACCATAGGCTTTCTGGTCAGAGCTAAAATAATGTCTGCAGTAACAGAATAGAGGTTTTTGTGAGCCTATTTCCCAGCATTAGCAGGTGTTGTGTCAGGAATCCAACTTGCTACTGTGACTCTTATGTAAGGGGGATTATAGCATGTGTTTAGGAAATCATGTAATTTCTTTGGCATTTAGTCTCTGCAATATCTCATCTCATTTTATTCAGAGCAACTGTTTATTTAAAATTTGAGAAGAGGTTGTCTCCCAGCAGTTTTAAATACAGGGGAATATTACTGTCACTCACCATCTCCTGAACAGGTTTAAAACTGAAATCCAAGGCAACAACACGAAACATCACTGGAAAGACAAGGAACAGGGTGTTAGTGTTAACTGTAGTTTTTCTGGCTGAGCACAAATTTTTGCATCCATTAGTACTCCCAGTTTCACTGGAGCTTCTAACAACCTCACTTGCACAGGATGTAGGCAATAAAATGCATCTGAAGGTAAACGAATCCTACACAGAATTTGCTGAGGGCACTTTTCTCCAGCATTGAGTTCTCACACTCTTCCATGAAAGTTTGCTTAACCTCAGAGAAAGGGATGACCGGATGAATAAGAACTGCTGTGCAGGTCACGCAGTCTCTAGTGTCAGTCATAACTCTTTCACTGACTGTCTGCGTGATGTAGGCAAATTTGTTCCTCTTCATTCTTCTGTCTCTAAAACAAGGTTTCTTGCTTTGAACATATGAAAGTTCCCAATATTACTGGAACTAGGTGAAGAGTCAGTTTTTCCTAACCCAGTGTAATTCCTCTTGGTTCAGATTGTTCTCATCTTTTTCAGGTTTTTGCCTTCCTTTTTTTATTTTTAATTTTTTTTTGTTTTACAAGAGAAAAACTGAAAGGAGAACAATGAATTATTGCACAAGGAAAAACATAAAAAACATCTTCCAAAAATGTCCTTACAAAGCATTACCTCTTCATCATTTAATTTGGTCTACTGCTTCCCCAACCTCAAAACCAAGCCATCTGATAAATAATCAAGCCATGTTTGGCAGACACATTGGTGGCACCAAATTCTGATTGGTGAGCTTTCCTTCATGCTATGTGTCTATGTACAGAGAACTCCTCCCTTATTCAAGTATGGCTGGTCCCATCTAACGGCTAGATTATTTGGTTGACCTCTGGAAAGAAGTATTCTCACAGTGTTATAGCTGCTTGCTGGGAGCCTTAAGGACTAGATGCGAATTAAGGAATTGATCTAGATAAATGGCTCTTTGCATACATGGAGCTCTGCTCGATGTCCAGATGAGAAGTATGGATAGGGGAATAGCATAAGTGCAGGAAAAGCGACAGAAAATATGAAGTCCAAACGCATGAGAACTCAGAAGGTAAATAGCATGATTTTTTCTTTAAAAACTTGTAATTAATTTCAAAATAATGGATTTGACTCTTGGTCTTTCGACTGTCTTTGATGCTGGTCAGCATCAGAAGATTGTGGGAGTGTTGTTTTGTGCCAGGCACTTCAGCAGTGATCTAATCACCTTTCCAGTGTCTTGACCCGTCACCAGTAATGAAACAGCAGCAGTAAAAGATCCACTCTTCTGTCAGCTGGGAGGCAGGGACAAAGAAAATAATAGGGACCAGGGGATGACAGTCTCCTGCCATCTTGAAGATGACTCCGAACTAAACAGCAAATATTTGTAGTGGTTTTAACAGAAACTCTGAATAAACTGCCTGGACTCCAGCTCCTCCTGATAAACACCTGCAGAGAAATTCTACCTGGAAAAAATTGCTTCATAAGGGACATGTTATAAACTAAATAGATATTCACCACTCTGTCCTGGTTTGTAGATCGGTTTGTCTGTCTGCACGATGACAATGCTCTCTGTGTTCCAGATCATCACTGACCGACGTTCTTCAAGGCTTACTGTGGTGCTCTTGGCAGAGAAGGAAATGAAAGCCAATGGGGCAGAATTGGCAGGATGAATCTGTGAGTAAACAGGAAAACAAGGGGAAGTTGCTAGTCTTGAAGTAATTTTCTCCAGACCCTGTTGAACAACAATACCTGTGACCTGGTTTCCTACAGAGAGACACCCATCTCACTTCTTTCACTTTTCTTGGACCTTTCTTATTTCTTATGTCTACTAGGATATGTCTACCTTGGTCCTTGTCTGTTACTATATACCTCCCCTCTGCTTCCTTTTTCCTTCAGTAAGTCTTATTTCTTCTCTTGTTTGTTCCTCTCTGCTCTAATTTTCTTGTCCCCACCCTTTTCCACTGGGACATCAATTAAAATTAATTTACCGTGAAGTTGAAGCACTGTAGACTATTGCTTGCTTTCATGGTTTTCTCAAAAATAGTGGTGTTAACAGCACCATATTCCAGGATGATTCTGACAGACATTGTCTCATTGAGGTTAAGGAAGTGCAGGCAAATCTGACTTGGAGAGTCAGTTTGGAGGACAGCAGGCACCATCAGGACATATTGCCTGTGAGATCCAAGCATCAACGTTATCACATTGCAGAGAAAGGAGAAACATTCTCAACAGGACAAAACAAATACAAAGTATCGCTATTATTTAGTACCCACTGATTAGCTTAGATTAAACATAGCACTGCCAGAGCTGCTCACTCCTGCCCCACAGCTCCCAACTCACCCAGCCTTGGATTCCTCACACAGCTCTGCTAACATCCCCAAGGTTTGCCCTTTATCTGAGTCCTGGACCCAACTGCTTTTAGCAAAGCAGGTTCCTGTTACTGCTGCTACTGTCTTTTCTGAACATACACCTCAACTTCTTTGGAAGTTCTGCAATGAGCGGGAGGTCTGCTCCCTGTTAAAGGAGAACCATTCACTTGCCATCCACATTCCAGTTTAACTTGCTCTCCAGACTGAAAATACTGTCATGACAATATTTAATATTTAGAGTAAACATGGTGGCACTAATTAACACTGTCTTTAAAGCCTTATGGTGAATACTACTAGTAATAATATGATAGTTCTTACGGCTCAGGTTCCTTTGCAGTTGTTACATGCAGGAGAAGAATAGCCAAAAGAAACTTCAGCCACATTTTTCTCACTGGGAGACAGAAGAAAGAGATAAGCTCTCTTCCCAAGAAACAATTCACTGCCTGTTAATTTAACAACTCTGCAACATTGCTCACCAAGCACTCCAGAGGAAATAGAGCCAGCCCTTCACTCCTCCCTGGCTCCTTCCTTAGATGTTAGTGCCTTTATAATTGCAGCAAGGGGTGGAGATCAGTCTGCCCTACTGCTTGCAAGAACCTCCCCTAACCCCACTGCAACCTCCCCTAACCTCACTGCAACCTAAACCACGCCACTGCCTTCAGACTGTAACACCTCACTGCAGCTCTCAATGTCTGTGCAAAATGTCTTTCGTGGTCTTGTTTTCAGTGTGAGGGGCTTTGCTTTTTACACTGAGACTTGGCACAGCAAAGAAAAGCACAAAATGGCCTAAACCAGATTAATGTTTGAGGGTTTTCTCCATCATTCTTGGGATTTACCATCTGGATTAACAGTCTGGGTGAAGTAACTCTCTATTTTGACACCTGATTCTGGTCAAAATAATGTATTGGCCTCTCTTTTCCTTGCTTCATAGATATTTTGAATATTGATGAAAGGGAATAATAAAGAAGCCAGAAACATAAAGAGATCTAAAAGGTCTTAATTATTTCTACCTTAGCCATTAAACACTTCACGGTGTTGTTGAAGTTTCGTTCATTTCAGCTTGAAATTAACCAGTTGGTGGGTCCATACATATTTGTTGGTGCCCCAGGTTTACAGTTTTCACACCTGTGTGGAAGCTCATTTGTTTCTTAGGGAGAAAAAAAATCTTCTTTCATCCAAAGTTCTTATTTTAGGATAAAGAATCAGCTTGTCCTTTTTGTTCTTTTTGTTCTTTTGTTCTTTTGTGCTCTCAAGAGAAAACAAAGCATTCTGAGTGCTGCACTGCACAAGAAAAGCAGTGCTGGAAAGCACTTTTTTGATTAATGTAATTTTTTTTCCTCCCTTCATATTGGTACTGGGTCTGTCTGGGATGGTTGTGAAGTCAATTTTCTTCATAGTAGTGTGTATGGTGCTTTGCATTTGTGGCTAGAACAGTGTTGATAACTCATCAGTGTCTTGGCTGTTGCTGAACAGTGCTTGCACAGTGTCAAGGCTTTCTGTCTCCTCCACTTCTACTCCAAAAGCCAGTAGACTGGGGGTAGGCAAGAGATTGGGAGGGGACACTGTTGGGACAGCTGATCTAAACTGATCAAAGGGATATCCCATACCATATGACATCATGCTCAGCAATAAGAGGTGGGGGAAAGGAGAAGGAGGGGAGACATCTGTGGTTACGGCGTTTGTCTTCCAAAGCAGCCACTACACATACTGAGGCCCTATTCTCAGTAAGTGGCTGGACATCTGCCTGTCAAGGGAAGTAGTGAATAAATTCCTCTTTTTGCTTCTCTTTCACATGCACCTTTTGCTTTCCTTATTAAACTTTCTTTATCTCAACATACTAGTCTTTTTGCCTTCCTTCTATCCCTGCAAGCCCCAGAAAAGGGCAGTGGGTGTTCGGTTGCTGACCGGGGTCAACCCACCGCTGTATGTTATCAACATAGTTAAATTTTGTAGACATGAAACCAGGGAGATATAGCTTCAAAGGCAGTGTACCTGCATGGGACCATGCTCTTCTCTACTCTCCTGATACACTGTGTGACTCTCTCTTCTTGCTGTTTCTTGCTAGTGTATGTTGCAGGGAATGTATCATATGCCATGTAGGGCAGCTGTGAAACTTCCTTCACTTAGTGTCTTCACATTTTCATGGAAGTCTCAAAATGTATGAAACTGGAAGAGGGTAGCAGCAGTAGGTGTCCCCCAGAGGTGTCTCTGTGGCATGCTGTGGAAATCCCAGCTCCCCGTTTCTATTAAAAAGGATATCTACAATTTCTACAGTTCAGGAGCTTCACTAGGGATCAGGCTGGATTTTCTCTGCAGTGGGATATCCATACCAGGAGCTGTCAGGAACTGAAATTCAATGACGAAGGCTTGAACTTGAGCTGAGATTGTAAAGAAGTAGATGAGCAGTATTGAATGTTCTTGCTCTTCTTGGCTTTCTTAGGTAGTTATGCATTCATTGCAACATAGTATTCATCCCAAACAAGCCAATTGGATAATCATCACTGTCTACATCCTTATGCAGAGAGAAGTTCTCTGAGGCTACTTTTGAAATTTTAATCAAAAGATCAAGTGGGTTAGGTGACATTCAAAGGTTTTATAGATAGAGGAGGGTAGCTGTGTATAAGTTACTGGGTTTTGTTTGGTTGCTTTTTTTTTTTTCCCCCCTGACAGCATCTCCTTGCTCTTCAAATCTTACCCATTTCATTTATGTCATCTGTAGATGTGCAAGAAACCTGTGAAGATTGCTCTATAGGGATATTAGAGATGCTAGTTCATCACCAGGTCAACAGACTATGTTTGGGGTTTTGCTCTTTCCTCACAGGTGAATTCATTCAGTTGAGTGGTATCTAAGTTAACCTAAACCTCCTCCCCACACGTGCTCACATAGAAGTCATGTAAGATGCTCTCCTCACTTCTCTGTCATTGAGACTTCTTGGAGACAGGTGTCAAGGCTGCTGTGCTTTGTAACACCACAATGATTCCTTCCCAGGAGATTGCTGAAAAACGTGTTGATCTTTCTGGGCATATAGAAGAAACTGTGAAGCAATGTTGGAGAAGTGTCTGTATACAGATAGATTATCTTTCATTCTTGACTTATTCTGAGTTGATTGTCAGCCTAACTTTGAACGTCACCTAAGCTATAACTTCAGATCTTAGCTAGTGTTGTGTAATAGTAGCACCACATTCAGCCTAATCTGTGTGTTTGCAGGCAGACAGCAATGAGAGGGAGCCTTGGCAACAGTAGAAAAAAGTGATTGACATAGTTAACTTTGTGAAGAAACCACCCATCAGCTGGATATACGTAGCTTCCTAACTCTTAAACAGCCTTGCTGAAGGCATAGTTAGACTGTAAAAATTGTGCCTTTATGGTTGTGGTTTGGTTTATTTGAGGCATTGGATGTGTTCTATCAAGAAAAGCTTAAAGCTGTCTTATTATGATAGACTGTAGTAATAGTCAACTGCACAGTTTTCTCCATAGAGAACTGATCACAGTGATTTCTGTGTCAAGCAATGACCTTGACCTCAAATTTCACTCACTAATACTGCAAAGAGCCCTATTTCTTTCCTGTGGGAATAATAAAATGACTCTAGGAAAATGGCAGTAGTCTCTGGAGCTCCATGTTTTTTTCCTGGTTTTGCGGTATTTGTAGCTGCTCACAATTCATTTCATATGGTACTCCTTCTTACTCTTGCAGTTTATTGTCATCACCCAACCATTCTTTGTTCTTGACCGGAGCAGTGGAGAAGAGTGGCAGTTCTGTGGGATTTTGCACAGCCTAGCAGAGCACCTTTTAACTAGCTAGCTGAGCACTGCAGTAGGTAGAGGCACGACCTCTGGCAAAGCTCATCAGAGGAATTCCATGACTGCCTTGTTAGCAGGAGCCCAGCTGGCACGCTGAAGCCAACTTGAATATGTCTGCATGAGCTGCAGCCTTATCTTTGTGTTGTAGACACTGACACCTTTCTTGTAAATGGTTTAATTGCTGCATTCAAAGAAGAATCAACTTGGTCATTACAACTATGAAAATTAATTGAGAAGCACTGAAGCAATCTGTGACTTTGACTATACTGCTTCCTATAAAACCTTCTTTAAGCAGTTTCGATTGTAACGATTTGTTTAGGCATAGTAAAGGTCGAAATGCTTGGTTTGGCCCAGGTGGTTGGGGAACAATGCTAAAACATGGTTAATTACAGGTAAAGTCCTGTTTGGTCAATAGAGCCTCCAGTCAAGCAAGGAAGATTTCTTTCATTGTTCTAAGATACGTGGGCCATGGCAAAGTTCTCTAGCAGCTCTGCCAACGGAGAGGTTGGTTAGCTCATTGAAGAAAATAAGCGTATCTCTAGAGGCATCGTCACAGCTTGCAGTGATTTTGATGAGTGGTGGAACTTCTCTGGGAGGTGTGGGATTGGTCAATAGAGCCTCCAGTCAAGCAAGGAAGATTTCTTTCATTGTTCTAAGATACGTGGGCCATGGCAAAGTTCTCTAGCAGCTCTGCCAACGGAGAGGTTGGTTAGCTCATTGAAGAAAATAAGCGTATCTCTAGAGGCATCGTCACAGCTTGCAGTGATTTTGATGAGTGGTGGAACTTCTCTGGGAGGTGTGGGAGGTGTGGGGAGAGGTTGGTTAGCTCATTGAAGAAATATCCCTAGAGGCATAGTCCCAGCTTGCAGTGATTTTGATGTGTGGTGGAACTTCTTTCAACAAAATGGGAGGTGTGGGGGGTGTGGGGAGGACTGCCACAATTTATTTCAGTCATCTTTCACTCCTGGAGAGACAGTAGTGCAAATGATGGTATGTGAAGGTCAGCCAGTTGCAAGGATTCTGTTATGCCAGTGACTCATCAGTGTGGAAGGGTCATCCAGAACCTATTTTCAAAGCTGGGACCTTTAACCTTCTCTGTGAAGAGGCTGAGGTCTGAGCAGAAATAGCTCTGTCTGAGATAAAATGTTAAGACTGTCTTTGCTGTGCAGTTTTGGTGGCAAATGTCCCAGTCAAAAGTGAGTGAAGCTGGAATCTGACTACTGTCGCTGCACAGTCGCTGCACAACCTGGGAGTGGATACGGATGTATACTGGGGATAGTATACTAATAAAATGGTCCTTCATACTTGTACACAGTTTATCTGGCAGAGCTTGCACTAAGCTATAAACGGAGCAGTACAGTTGGGCTGTCAAGCTAGTCTGCACTTCTGGGTGTGCTGTGCTGTTTTACTGCTCTTCTTCTAAGGACAGGACCAAGGGTTATTCAATGCTCTTTTCTGCATGGTCTTGACAGGCAGCAGCAAGGGTTCAATTCAGATGTAAAGAGGTCACTAATAAAACACCTGAATGAGCCCCACAAAAAAAATCTCTGGTACTAATTAAGTTAATTTTTCATATCTGCA